AAGGGTGCGGGCTGGGGTGCTGTGCCGGGGCCCCCGGGAAGACCCCATCACAGCCTCCCAGCCCGCTCCTGGGGGGCAGGGAGCAGCAAGAGTCACGTCCCGCCCCCCGCCTTCACTGGCAGTTCCCGATGCAGCTGGCGCCAGGAGCCACTGGTGCCAGCTGCAATGGCAGGGCTGCAGGCTCAGGGGCTGTGCTGGGGTCTTCCCTATGGAGCTCAGCCCAGTGGCAGGAAAGCCAGTGGAGGAGCCACTCGGTGCAGAGCCCTGGCCAGTGGCTCTCCTCCAGCTCCCGCCGCCAGGCTCAGCTCCGTGGAGCTGGTGGACCTGCTCAGAGTGCAGCCTGGCAGCAGGAGGCAGGGAGAGCCAGGGCTGCGCTCCAAGTGGCTCCTCCAGCCCCAAAGAGATCACCCTGCTCTCCCAGCACTGCCACAGAGTGCCAGGGAGAGCCTGGTGCCGTCCCTGATGCAGCCCCTTGAGCAGCGGATGCCACCTGCCTGCAGCCACTGGGCTGCGCCACACCAGGGGGTTCAGGGCATGATGCAGCCCAGCGTCTGCAGGCAAGTAGCATCCACTGCTCCTGGGGCTGCAGCAGGTGTGGCACCGGGCTCTTCCTAGGCAGGCCGCAGTGATGGAAGGAGAGACTGCTGCCACCCCAAAATTCACTGTAGCCCCCCCAGCCCTCCCACCACTGACACCAAGCATGGGCCTCCCAGGAGGTGCGGGCCCCCAGATCTGTGCACAGGATGACAGGAGGCTGCCGCTACTGCCTGGAGTCGGAGGCAGCAGCAATCTGTCTGGCGCTTGGCGCAGGCTGCACCCAGCACTGGCCCCAGGTAGCACCAGCAGCCTCCTGTCATTCTGCACACAGATCTGGGGGCCCGCACCCTCAGAAGGAGTCCAGCACATCCCTGCAGCCTTCCTGGGGGGTGCAGGCCCCCAGATCTGAGCACGGGATGACAGCAGGCTGCCAACAAGTGATACGAGGTTTGCTTTCAACTGTTTGAGGTGCAGTTTCACAAAAAACCCTGCACCTATCTCCTTGAACTTTGGCAGGCTTCATGCCCTCAGAAGGGGCTAGCATCCCTACAAGTTTCACCAAAATCAGGCATGAAATGACAAAGTTATAGGCTTTAAGTGGTTTCCCATTATAGCCTATGGCTGAATCAGTGAAACAGCAGCGAAACTCCAGAACAGATGCGGGCAAAACGAAAAGGGACAGTGATCCAAAACAAATCACTGTACCTCTGAAATACCAAATCTAAAACTGAAACAAAACATAGCTGTTTCGCACAGGCCTACCTCCTCTGCCAGTGGCCTGGCACATAGCCGTGGGCAGGTCCACCACCTCAGTTCCTCCCACCCCCATCTTTAGAGAGAAGGAAGGATTTCTCCATCTTTGGTGGAGTGCTTGGAAATCTACAGTTGAAAAGTGCTGTATAAGATAGACAAGGTTCTTTGGGTAAATCTGATATCTTTTATTAAACTAACTCAAATAGTTGGAAAAATTCTTCTTTGCAAGCTTTTGGGTACAAACACCCTTTGCCAGGCTGAGGAAGTGTCTGCAGCCTGTGTGTGGTCTTCCTGGATGGAATGAATAGTAAAGAAGCCATATGGTATGCATGCAAGAAAGCCAGTCAGTGAAGATGTAAATTGAGGTGTCAGTGTTTACCCAAAGAGCCTTGTCTGCCTATGTGCTTAGACCAACACGGATACAACCTTACCCCTGTATGAGACAGAGACATCCAATTCTGCAATTGCATAACACCCTGGAGCGCCACGAGATCCTTTAAGTGTGCTGTCGGGTGCCAAGCAATATTAACTGTTTGGTGTGCAAACACCTACACGATCCAAAAGATAAGCCCAGAGATTTCAAACAGGAATTCACAGTGTCAAAATCATTCTGACCTGCTGTGGTCTGCCTGGGTTCTTTGCAACAAAAGAATTGCTCATTTATTTTTCTCTAACCAAAAACAAAAAGCAAAAAAACCCAAAACAAACCAGGGAGCTAAAAGCTGGCTTTTTCCGAGGTGTTCCTTGATTCTAAAGAGGTTGAGAATCACTGATCTAATTAGATAAGAGGAGGGAAAAAGGAAATAGCAGGTCTAAGGCAGACACTATCCATTTCTCACTAACATCTTAGCATAGTGGAGTTGAGTGTTGCCAAGTCTTGCAGGAAAAGAAAAAAGGTGGCACTGCCTTTAAAAACAAGCCCAAAACAAGCCCAACCCATTGAAAAGATAGGGGATTGCAGGTGTTTATCAACCCATGACTCAAAAAATTAAAGTGACTCTTAAAAAAACAAGCCCAATTCCGCTTGTTACAGCAGACTTGGCAACACTGGTGGAGTTCTGCACCTCCTAAGTTTTCATAGCCAAGGGGAGATTCTCCCAGCAGGTGGGTTTGAGCATTCAAGTGCAGCATTAAAGCAGGCTTATTCCACCTTTGTTTGTGAAAATGACTTCAGCAGATGCCCAATTGCAGAGCAGCCCAATGCCAATTTAAATGCTGCTTGTGTGCTTTGCCATAGTCTCCTGAAGCCCATCATGTTGTTAATGCTATAAAAAGACACTTCAAGCACCCCTGTCTAGGAAGATCTGAGTTGGGCCAGATTCCAGCCCCCATAGAAACAGGAGGGTGATTAATTCTCTCTTGCATTCTGGGAACAGGAGGAACCAAAGGGTGAGGAGGTTACTGAACATTTCCCATAGCCTTAAAAACCTTCATAAGAATGGAGACAAAGAAGACTGCGCAGAGACCAAGGTGTATACTGCAGTGCTTTTATAACCTGAACAATGCAAAGAGAACAGGAAAGTTATGTGAAATTGTGATGCAGTTTCCAAGCTAGGGTATAAAAGTGGCATGAAAACGTCTGGTAATCCCATACCTCAAGGTTCTGCGGGTTGATAGCTGGGGCCAGCAGGCACACACATGAACATGTATGCATGCACACCCCCCCATACACCCCCTTTCCCCCCACCCTGAAGTGGTTTTGGTTTTCTGAGTTGCACTGATGCTCTAGCCATCACTTAGAAAACCCAAAGGTTCCTCACTAGAGGGTCTTGTTTTTCTGCTCAGGGGTCACACCAGGCACCAAATTTAGGGCTAGGAAGGAATCTTTCCCCTCAGTCAGATGGGCATGGACCATGGGGATTTTGTCTTCCTCTGTAGCATGAGGCATGGTCCTTTTCCTAGGATTTCTGGACTATCTATTGACCAACTACTTCCCTGCTGTTGCAGTGACAAGGCCTTGGCAGGAGCCTCATTGTCCTCATTTCCACTGATAGCGTGGGCTAGGGTGTTTCAAGCTTCATATCCAGAATAGGTGCTTGCATGACCTCTGGGGGGAGTCTATTCCAGGCCCCCCAGGGGTGGTGCAAGCACCTACTCTGGATACTTTTAAAACACAGAACAAAAAAACTAAAACAAACAACCTCCCCCCCCACACACACACACTTGGATGCCTAATTTGCTGGGATCATTTGACCCCCTGCTGACTTCCTGACCCTTGGGCAAGGGGCTGGATCCAATGATCTTGTGAGGTCCTTTCCAGCCCTAATGTCTATGAAATCTTGCAGTTGTGAGAGAGGATTTGAAGCAGTGATTTGATTTGGGTGGCGGGCAGGGCACTCCTTGGATTACCAGTGCTTGGGAATGCAGAGCACTGGACTCAATGGTCCAGAAGGCTCCTTCCAGTTCCATGTTCTGAGAGAAGAAGTTGCCAAGCAGCTGCATAATGTTAGTAGTGATTCAGAGCCCCTGACTCCAGATTTGTCATGGTGGCCCCATGCATTCACAGGAAACTCCTATTGAGCAGCTGGGCCAATACTGCAGCATGACAACCAATGCCAGGGCAGGTGCACATATTTGTCTAAAAGGCTTCATGCAGACACCCAGAACATGAGAGCCAGGAAACCCCAGTCCTGCTGAGACCAGGGACTCTGGGATCCTGTTACACTTTCCTACAACCCAGGTAACAAAGGGATGATGAGAAGAACCGGCAGCACAGAAATGCAGGAAGTGAGAACCTTTGCAAACTTCCTGCCCTGTAACATCCATAGGCAGGCCTCAACCAGGACAAATGGCCTTCAGCAAAAACAGGTGTTATTTCCTGGGGGGGAGGTGGGGGGCAGCTTCCTAGGAGCAGCAGCAGCCAATCAGCTCTGAATACAGGCAGTTCCAGAAAAAAATCTTACAAGCCATACCTAATTAAGGGACAGAACTGTGCAGGGAATGAATTATGTGGTATTAATTCCTGCCTTGCAAGCTCTTAACACAGCTAGGCATGGATTAGTGCCCCATTATTCACACCCTGGTATGTCCCATTTACATTTATTAAAAATGATGGAGGAGATCAGTCTTAGAACAGCAGGCACATCATTCATTGGGTGAGGAAGCTCCCGTAGTGCTAGGTTGGGAATCCTCAAGAAGGACAATGGGACAATATAGTAAAGGAATGGTTTATTGCATTACAGCCAGCACTCTGCAGTTTACAGAGTCACTCCATTTCACCTGCCTCTTGCATCAGGACAAGGTTAATGCTGTATGTTTGACATCCCCGATCTAGAGCAGTGGTAATCCCATGCAGAATCATCCCCACAGTGCCAGGCCCACCCTGCAGGACCCTCCCTCTGCTCTCCATCAAGGCAGGGCAGGGTAGTCATGACAGCTGAGCAGCCCTGAGCTGGAGCACAGGTAGGCCAGTTCTGGAGTATCACATTTCCAAGGGAATGCTTTTCCAGAAGCAGCTAGATCTATCCTCACAGGCATTCTGGCAGCCCCTGTCCACACTGGGATTTCAGGCACCAACATACCTATACCTATGCCAACTCAAGCCCCCAGCATGGCTGTAATTTGAATCAGTTTCAAATCATGTAAGCTGCATTGTGACACACTGTGCTGCCTGGTGTGGACTGTGTCTGCATAAGGTGTTTGCCCAGGTCCAGCTAGAATCTCCATGCAGTCCTCATGGCCCTAAAACTCAAATTAGTCCCCAGCCCTACCTTCACTTTTGGAAGCTATTCCCACCTATCCCAGCAACACCAGGGAGAAATATCACAGCTGGTCAATGCATTGTTCTCCTTTCCTCCCAAGAAAACACTCTAGAGTTGAATGCCAAGAATGAAAAATTCCAAAGATGGCCATAACTTGGGTCAGAGCCGCATCGAGGAACCGGAGGCTGTGACCCAGAATCCTGTTGTTCGCAGGGTTTGATGGAGTTCCCACACAGCATTCCAGCTGCAAGCGGCTTCCTCTGCATTTCAGAGGAAAAAACGGAGTACATAATGGACCAAAGGACACTCTGCCTTTCCCTCCATGACAACATATACCCCACTCCCCAAACAAGGGGTCACTAGCAGTGTCACCCTTTTGACACCCCAGTATGTACCTTCCAAGAAATAGCCCCTTCAAATACCAGACTGCATCAAGTAACTGGGTAGCATAAGCCCAGCTGCCTTCAAATGCCATCTTGACCCTGCTTCCCATCTTCCAAAGAGAACAATCATAGAGACTCTCACATGTTGCTCAGATGCCATTTCTGTCATGCAGATACATGCACATGCACACACACACACACACACACACACACACACACACACACACACACACTCTCTCTCTCTCTCTCTCTCTCTCTCTCTCTCTCTCTCTCTCTCTCTCTCTACCTCCAATCTCTGATGCATGACCCGAACAGTTCCTCCAGAGTGCCTCCAGCAGCAGCTAGCTCTGTCCCCACAACATCAGCCTGAACCCTGTCAAGCTTCAGGAAGGTTTCTTCAGGGACTTTAACCTTAGTACCTCAAACACTTCTGGTGCAAGTATATGCCAGTGCACCTGGTTGCCTATTAACCTTTGCCTCCCTTCATCTTATCACGTGAAGGGCAATGCTTTACCTGGGAATCCCACACCATAACAGAAGTGGGCCATATGCAGCACTAATGCTCCTTGTGCAAACAGTGGTATGCAGGGAGCAGGATTGAAGGGAGGATGGTCTGCTATGACCCTCAGATATTTCTGATGCCCTTGCTCCACAATGACCATGATCTCTAGTTACTATCACATGTAAAAGCAAATGGAAAACCTCATCCAGCTAATTCTCACAGCAGCCCTAAGACATATCATGACGTTCCACAATATACAGAGGAAGTAGGAGGGCTGGGTTAGGGAGTCTTAGCATGAAGATAGTAGTTCCTCTACATAGACACTGTGCCCAGACACTAGGACCCCTGCCACCAGGCTAGATACCCTTTATCTAATCTGACATGGATTCAGGTATATGCAATGGTATCAGAGAAAGTATGTTGGATTAGAGAGCCTTCCAACATCACCATCCAGACAAGGGAGGAGGTGCTGGGTTTGCAGAAAGAGACCAAGTTTGCAACCATCTACTCTATTTCCACGGTTAATAGATTAAAGTAACCCAGCAACCCCCATTCAGAGTACAGGATCTGGGTTTGTTTTTCTGTTGAACTTGCCTCAGCCCAGAAATGGTGCTAAATTGAGTGTAGATTGGTATCCTAGAAACATGACCTCGGAGACCACTAGGACCAGGGCAGTCTAAAATTAATCCCCCACCTCCTCCTCCCTGCAACAAATCATGAATAGCTTTTCCTTTATGCACACAAGTTTACTAACTTTTTAGGTTAAAACCACATTAGGATTTTACTCCTCTTGCTTCGAAGTGCAGAAACAACCAAAAGCCAGGTGTGATCCTAAATCCAGTTGCTGCACAAAAGGTAACGTAGTCATCAGATAAGGAGAAGGACCTGGACTTAAGAACTTCCCCTGGTCCTGAAATCCATGGGTACCACTGCTGCTTACAGCCTTGATGCAGCCCCTCAGCAATGATCTGGGGTCCAGATTCTGGGACACCTGAATTGAGACTCAGTCTTGCTAATTAATTTGAGAGCAGTGATGTGCAAAGCCTAAGAATAGCAGGAGACCAGGTCCCATTCCCCACCCCCCACCCCCAAAAAATAAATTAAAAAAAAACCTACTCAAAACAAGCATGGGGACTACCTCTTGTGCCAGTGCACTGTCTCTCACTGAGCACCATCAGCTGGCATCTCACTAATCAAAACCTCAGTGAGCACATGCCTGCAGAAGATGCACAAGGACAACTGGTACAGTATGCCAGGGAAGGGGCAGTGTCAAAGGTTTGCCTTAAAAGCAGGCAAGTGGAGCCAAGCCTGATCTCCAGAACCAAAATGGGATCTTCTGAACACACAGAGAAAAGAGGACAGAGCCAAGTAGCAGGGTGAACAAGAAGCAGGGGGACTGGCAGGCCAGCGCAGTGCCAGGTTCCAGCATTCAGTGTGTTCACAGGAGAGGGCCACCTCTGGGGCTAAAGAGCCCAGTCAAATAGGGGAAGGGATCAGGGCCATGTTACACTACAAAACCAGGGCCTGCACCTGCAGGAGGCAGTGGCTTACGGAAAAGGAGACAACTGATCTTAGCACCTCATACAAGTGTGCTCAGCCCAACTCAGGCTCTGCAGAGTACCCAAAAGCCCCCTCTGACCCTGTAGGACCTTATGATTTGAGGGCAATGGCTCACTGGTGGGTTGATGGTCCGCCAACATTTGTGCTATAGAAGCCATCAATCTGCAGAGTTGTTAGGCCAGAATGTGTGCGCATGCATGCTCCTTTCCCTCCCGCACTGTTTCCCCTGGCAATTCTCCCTTCCCCAGGACAGAGGGGTATCCTAGCCCCAATTCATGGGTGATGGAAGCGTTTACTCTCACTTGGGTGACTTGCCATACACTGAGCAAGCTGTGAAGCAATCATAACCACTTGGGGTATTAGTGCACTGCATTAGTTTGTTTATTATAAAATACACACACACGTCCAACACCATGGAGCAGATGAGCCCCTGCCAAGTTTTGTTGACCAGTAAAGGGACACCACAGGGGCAGGCGGAGACTTTTTAGAAATATAAATGAACCAAAAGTTTTCCCAGAGAAACAATGCCTTCTAGCCTCGCGTTGCACTAAAACAGGCCAGACACCCAAAAGTAAAGCGTCTCCTCCAAGGTAGCCCAGCTCAAGTCAGGCACTACTTTCTCATGATGCTTCCCAAAATAGCCAGTATCTGAGTTCCCTATCTGCTTTCTGGACTGTAGGCTGCTACACATGGAACAAGGCACATTCTTAGTGCTTCACTACCACAAGAGGGGTATCCCAGCACGCCTTTTCAGGGGAAAGGGAGAGGAAGGATCCACTGTGCAGTACCTCTCTGCACTGCAAACCCATGGTGCTGCCAGCCAGCTTCCTTATAGAGCACGGCCAGGGGAAAAAAAAGCCTGACAGCATTACAGCTCATACCCGAAAGCTTGCAAAGAAGAATTTTTCTAGCTATTTGAGTTGGTCTAATAAAAGATATCAGAGATTTACCCAAAGAACCTTGTTTGCCTCTGTCCTTAGACCAACACAGCTGCAACCTATATCCCTGTAGCATTACAGCTCCAAACTCACCTCTCCTGTTGTCAGCCGGACAAAGGTTATAGGGCAGAGATCTCTGCAGAGAGGGAGCCTTTAAGAAACAGATCAAGGAAAGGCTCTTTGGCCCTGCCAGTTGAGACAAAGTCCCTGAAGGAGGGGTGGTGTCAGGCCAGGCTGGTTTCCAATTGGCTGCATGGCAGGAGCGGGGCGGCAGTGCGCAGGAAGACCTCTGCCCAGAGAAGCTGCCAGGATGCTGAGCCTTGGCCCACAGCACCCCCTCCTACCCCTGCCCAGGACAAGAGAGGTCCAGTTCAGCTCAGCTCTCTCCCACGTCACTTTACCCAGCTTCCCAGTTCCTTATTTATTGTGAAAGAGGATTCCCTCGAACTCCTCTTCAGACTATCATCCCGCACACAGGTCACGGCAGCCCTTCGGATCCAAACCAGGAATGTCAGGGGCAGGTCTGCAGCCAACACACAACCCTGGAGACCTGCCAAACAGCAGGCTGAGCTCTGCCAGGATTCCCTGCTTTTACAGTGCTCCTCAGTCTCTTCTTCATCTGCAACACAATAGCCCTCACTGCAGGACCACCACTCTTCCCTCTGGCCACAATGAAAAGCAAGCCCTGGGGGGGCAATCCTCTACCCCAGGTTGAGAACATCCGTATTATAAAGGCTTGCAGTTTTACAGTTACCCAGGTCAAGTGTCACAGACCTGCCAAAAGGAATCAAAACTTTGGAAGAGGTGATATATTTTGTTATTCACAGACCTGCCAAGATCAAGTGGATGAGGCTAGTGTCCAGAGCCTGTGACTAGTAGCTGAAAGGCCAGAAGTCTAATCCCAGCTCTGCCATGGACACAACCTTGGACAAATCCCTCCATGTCCCTGGCCAAGATTTTACAACAAGGATTTCTGATTTGCTGAGCATACTGCACTCCAAAGATTGCCCTGCTTTACAGGGTCTCTGCTCAGGTATCTAAAGACTGAGGCAGACTCTGACCACCTTCCCCGCCCCCCCCAAAAAAAGCCACAAGAAACCTTTGAAAAGAAACTTGGCATCCATGCCTCAGTTTCCCCATGTGTCAAATGGGGATGCTTATGCCTGCCTCAAGAGGCACAGTGAGACCTGGTTAGTGACAGCTTCCAATGGAGGACTGCATTTTTAATGTCAGTAGCACTTAATTACTTAAGAGAGGCCCGAGTTAACCCGTGAAAACCTGGATCCTGCCCAGAGCACAGACTTTCCAGGCAGCCCTCAGGGGACTCTGTTAAAGAGGGTGTCCCACTGTCAGTATTGTGGGAGCAGAGAGAACGTAGGAGGGAGACAAATCCTGCATGTTATCCAAGGAGCTGGTGCCTGGTGTGGCATGTTGGGTCCGCATTGACTATAGGCTCCACAATTCCTGCCACGGTCTCCACTCTCACTCCCTGGAACTTATAACCATCTTTCATAGAGGGAAAGTAGAGAAATCCCTTTCCTCTTTGACATGACTGCAGCAAAGACAACAGAGAGCTGGCAGCACAGACATTTTACACTCACCTACACTAAAGGAAGAAAATGGAGAAAGACTCGATTTTCAAAATCCACCCCACAACCACCTCCTGCAAGGCTCTCCATTCCCTTTGCAGAGTGCAGGCAGCTCTGTACACACCAGTTCTTATGCCAGCATCATTTGCCTCAACCCAAACACTTCCTATGGACCCCAGATTACTGAGACTACCCAAGGCCTTGCAAAAAAATACCCCAGAAATCATCATAAAAGAACCACTTCCTCCATAATGGCAGAGCCGCTCTTAAACAGATC